GGGATTTTTTTGCACAACCGGGAATTGAACTCAGGCCCTTACGCTTGCCAGGGAAGCACTTATTCCACTGAGCCATCTCCCCGGCCCCGACAGATAGTTTTTTAACATGCAAAAATTTAGGTTGGGAATATAGCTCAGTGATAAAGCATCTGCCATGCATATATGTAAAGGCCCTGGGTTAATCTCCAGTTACCATAAAAACAAAAAAGTTAAAAAGATGCTCCCTGGATTTGAATGTATTCTGCTTTTGTTTTTATGGCTTAAGAAGTCTTTGTTTTAAGCCATGGTCTCTCAGTGTACTTCGGGCTGAACTTTTAAACTCCAATGTGTAGCCCAGGGTGAACTCAGAGATTCTCTTGCTTCAGCCTCGGCAGTGCTTTTGATCACATGTGTGCACTACCACACACAGCTAGAAATTTAATTAATTCAGGAGCTGGGGAGGGGGAGATAGCTCAGTAGAATAAGTGCTTGCCTGGCAAGTGCAGGGTCATGAGTTCAATCCCCAGTACAAAAAAAATTAATTCAAATGGTGGCTCTGTAATCTCAGAATTTTTTTTTTAATGGTCCTGCTGTCATCTCAGTATTCTAAGGCAGAGACAGAATTGCAAATTTGAGCCCATCCTGGACAATGTAGCAATCTGCCAAAACCCTGCCTCAGCATGAAAAGTTAAAAACGGGTTGGAGGTGAAGTGCAGTGCAGAGGCCCTGGGTGTAATGCCTTTTAACTGCAAAAAATAAAAAAAATTTTAATGAGGGACGCCAGGGATATAACTCAGTGGCTTAAGCACCTGCCTGGCAAGCTCAAGGTCTCGAGTTCAATTTCCAGTACTATGGGGTAAAAAAGGAAAGAAAAAGAATTGTAATGAGGTTGGGAGGAGGCAGAAGCTCACAACCAAGTTTAGCTTTGATTTCTGTAGCTTCCTTTAGCCCTGGGTTTTCCCATTGTTAACTACAACTTCTGTGCATTCCCTTCTGTTCCACTCTTAGTAGTGGCAGTAGTTGCTTTTTTAACCTTTCCCTTAATAGGTTTATGGTTTATGTTCTATCTGTTCTTTTTTTTTTTAATGTTCTATCTGTTCTTACCATGAACCATTCCAAATAACTTAGAAGTGGATAAAGGTGCTATTTTTTTTTTTTTAATTGGGCGGGGTTGGGATGGGGAGGTAACTTGGAGGTCTAAGTGCCTGTCTGGCAAGCGCAACCTTCAGAGTTCGATCCCTGGTACCTTCCCCCCCTCAAAAAAAAATACTCCTAAAAAGAGCAAAATATTTGAATGGGACTTCAAAAGAGGAAAGCTAGATTTTCATAAATCTGAAAAAGTGTGTGTTGTTGGAAATAAGTGCCAATTAAAATTGTAAGATACCATTGTACATTCATCAGAATGGTTAAAATCAATAAGATAAATTCTAGTTGTTGATAATGATGTGAATAACGTAAATCACTGACGAGAATGTAAATTGATTAGGCTACATTTTTTCTTTCTCTCTCTTTTTTTTTTGGAGACAAGAATCTTGCTTTCCAATTCAGCCTGGCCTTGAGCTCACTTTGTGAGTTGACTCAGTCTTGCCTTATCCTTTTGAGCACTAGGATTACAAGTGTGTGCCGCCACAATCAGGTTCAACTACTTTGAAACTGGCATATTTACATGTATGCACATGTCTAATCTGTGAAATTGTAATTCTATGCCTCGAATCAAAAACATGTTATGGGGCTGGTGAGATGGCTCAGTGGTCTAAAGCACCTACTTGGAACAAGCTTAGTGAAGCCCAGGGACCACGGTTCAATCCCCCAGCACCACATGCCAGCCAGCCCGCCCCCTGGTGGGCTGAGCTGGCCACACACACACATATAAATAAATAAAATTAAAAAAAAAAAAACATGTTATGTTCACAGTTTTTTGTGGAACTGGGGATTGAGCTCAGGCCCTCGCGCTTGCCAGGGAAGCGCTTATTCCACTGAGCCATCCCCCCGGCCCCCATGTTCACAGTTTTTTTAGAGCAACTTTATTCTAATAGCTGAACACTGGATGTGAGGTTTTTTGTTTTGTTTTGTGGTACTGGAGATTGAACTTAGGACCTTGCATTTGCCAGGCAGGCACTTATTCTACTGAGCTTTTTTTTTAGAGCAACTTTCTTCTAATAGCTGAACACTGGATGTGAGGTTTTTGTTTTGTTTTGTTTTGTTTTGTGGTACTGGGGATTGAACTCAGGACCTTGCACTTGCCAGGCAGGCACTTATTCTACTGAGCTATTTCCCCAGCCCCCTGAACACTGGAAAACAAATGTATTTCCATAGAATAAACTGGAACTGGTGTATTTGTAAAAAAATATTCTAGGGGCTGGGGAGATGGCTCATTAGAATAAGCGCTTGCCTCGCAAGCTCAAGGGCCTGAGTTCAATCCCAGGCACTGTCAAAAAAAAAAGGATATTCTACAACAATAAAAAATAAAATGGCAAATACAATCTGAAAGATCTCAGAAATATATTG